TTCCTAACACTTAGAGTCTAAGATTTTTAAACTTCAATATGATTCCTTAGTGACTACTTAAATGGATCACATGCATTAAAGTCAAGACTCTATAGTTAGCTACAACCTTAGATCTAACAAGTATAGACCAAATTACAAATAGTACCAAATACAAGAGAGTTTCAAAGGGTTACATCTCACTTCAACAATTAAGAGATTTAGCTCTTCATAATGGATGGGAAGAATTTAATACAAGGAAGAAATTTCATCCCCTAACCCTCTAATAATATTCTTTAAAGTACAAAGGAAGTGTGTATGAGAAAAACTCTCTAAAGTCTTTCTCTAAATATGTCTAGCTTTAAATACGTTTAGAAGTCCCTTTAAAACAGATGAGCAAATCTTTTTTTATAAACATTCCAAAGTGTGGCTTCAATGATGGTATCATGGTTACAGATGTGAAGTTTGGTACCAAGGTAGGTTTCTTCTGTAGCTCAAGTCTCATGCTTTTGTACTGAGATAAATTGTAGGAGTCTTCGTGGCTTTAGTCTCATGTTTAGTGCTTAATAAATTAATTATAATATTAGTAAAGTTGTATTTTTTATTTAATTTAAATTTTATTGTAAAAATATTAGTTAGAGTTATTATTATTGTAAAATGTCATAAATATGATTAATAATAAAAATTTTGTTATATGAATAATAATATTATTAATATTAATTTTATTAGTATAACTACTATTAAATTTTAAAAAAACATATTTAAATTTTTTTAATGTTTTAATTTTTATAGTGTACTAAATAATAGATAAATTAATAAAAATATAAAGTATAAAAAAAACAGGAGAAGAAAAAAATTCTTTTCGATAAATATTATTATAACTTATTACGCCAAATTTCATGAAAGCATGTTACAATATTTCCACGATATAAATGGGTATTAGTATTTAGAAGTTTAGGTTTTATACATTCAGACCAAACAACATTTACATCTTCAAGTTCGTTCTATTATTATTTAGATGATGAATTGGTAGTTTGGTTTAAATTATTCAAAACCTTCAATTGAATCAACAAAATACATATATGCCTATTGTTGCATCGTAATTTTACTTTGCATTAATGTGTTTTATTATCATAAATGTATAGAATTATGAACATACATTATCTACCAATTTCAAAAGCAAGTTCCTTATTATTATATGTTAAATAAGTGCTTTAAAAAATCGCCTAAGTTTCCACTTTTTTTATAAAATAGAATAGGTTATAAGTTTCATTCATTATAAAATTATCATTTTAGTTAATTCTTAAATATCTGTATAGTAAGATTCTTTAAAATATTATAAATTACAAATTAAATTATATGTATTTTATATTAATTATAAATTAATTTTTAGTTGGTTTTTGTTATTTTTAACTTAATTATAAAGGTGAGATTCAAATATCAATTTATAAAGATCTAACTTGGTCTAACTTCATTTGAGGTTAACATAATCTAACTTTTACATGACTTAAATTTAATTTGACTATACATTTTTTAACTTAGATCCAATTTAATTTAAGTTCAATCTATTAGTTGGGCAACTTGACTTCAACATGTTTGAGGTTAACTCAACTTAATCATGTCTGACTTGAGCTTGATCTAATATGGCTCACTCTAATTTAAGTTAGATTTAACCCAACCTGATATGAGCTTAATAGAGATCAATCCATACTTTTGCACTTGACCCAACACAATCTCCTATTGACCTTACTCGTACTAATTCAATTTAACTTGACATAGGTTTAATCCAGTTTGATTTGGATGGTCAACCCAACTTGTTTGGGCCTAGTTTGACCTTGCTTGGCTAGGGTAGCTTTGCATGACTTGGACAAACTTTACCCTTTTCGGACTATAGCCAAATTAGTTTAGGCTTAACTTGACTCAGTTTTACTTAAAATAGGCCAACTTGATATGATCTTAGTCCAACTCAACTCACCTTGACTATGCTAATAAAAATCTAACATGGGCATAATTTAACATGGGCATAATCTAACTTAACCTAACATAAGAATAACTCAATATTACTCAACATGAGTTTAACTTGAGTTGAGTTCATCTCTCAAACATACTTGAGATTACTCAATTTAGACTTGACCTAACTTGTCTCAACATACATGGACCATATCTAACTTAGCATGATTAACATTTGGCTCGAACTAAGCCCAAGTTGAAAGCCCAACTCGACCTAACTTGAGTCCAATTCAACTTGGTGTGACCTTAGTTAGACTCATCTTAACTCTACTTAACTTGGAGTAACTTAATTTGTTTCGTATTAGCTTAATTGAACTCATCCCAAATCAATTTAACTTAAATTTGACTCGATTTGATATAGTCTAGACCTATCTTAACTAACTTAATATGGTTCTATAACATAACTCGACATAATCTAGATTCATCTCAACTTACTAAATATAATTTAGATTCATTTTAACTTATTAGACATCGTCTTCACTTAACTTAATTTAACCTTAATCCAATGTAATCTACCACCTTAAACTTGGATTCAGATGAAGCAAATATTTTAAATAAATATTTTTTATTTTTAAATATAGTTTGACTTTAAAAAATAATCTAGAAGTTAAGTATCGAATTGTGAAAACTTGTGTCATATACTTTTTTATTATATAAGTTTTTTCCTCTCTAGATTTTTTGGCCTTATGTAAAGACCAAAACTTTAGGGATTTAACCAAATTCACATCTCATACACTAAAATTTCCAGTTATTTTTCATGCTCGTAATGAAATATACTCTTTAAAAGTACATTACTCTATTATTTAAAAAAAAAGCCATTATCTCCTATCTAGTGTTAGGATTTTTTAACCATATGTATTTTCGGTTTGTAGAGATATTATTTCATGCAGATTAAAGGTACGACACTTAAATTAGACACGATTCTAATGTAAATGTACAAGTTTTATATTAATTAAATAAATTTATAATATATAATTTTTTTATTAACAAAATGAATACTACATAAATCTTTAATAAATCTTTTACAACTCACTGTAAACTGTATATTATAATTTATAATAAAATGATATTATAAAATAACTCACACTATAATAAAAATTGATATTATCGGCATTCAAACGTCCGTTGGTAAAATTGATGTCGGTAATATCGATGAAAAAATATATATGTAATTATCGACGAAAACGTTCGTCAATAAATTCACAGGTAAATGAGACATTCATTACTATCCTTTTTACTGATGGATTTACTGATAACTTTTTTATCGGTAAGTCAAATTATCGACGAATTTTTTGTCAATAATCATTTATCGACGGATTTATCGATGAACTTTTTTGTTAATCAGTGTAATATGCATTATCGACAAATTTACCAATAAAAAAATTCGCAGATAAATTTAATATGCATTATTGATGAACTTTCCATTGATAAAATTCGTCAGTCATGATTCTATCAATAACAAAAAAAATTGAAATTCGTCGATAAAATTTGTCGGTAAATCAAATTTACCTACGAAAACATATTTGCCGATAAAAATCCATCGATAATTTCAAGATTTTTTTGTAATACATCATCAACATATGTTATGTATTAAAGGAATATGTAGATATCTTCTCTTTATTTTTATTTTTTTTAATTAAATATTCTTAATTGTGAATTTTCATAATTGATTCTTTAATAAAATAAGTAATTTTATTAAGTGGTTATTTCCTAATATTTTAAGATTCTGAAATTAAAAGAAAACACAATAAAATGAAATAACAAAAGAGAGAGAAAGCAAGAAAGACAGCAAAAGACTTACTGACCCAACGTTTCAGATTTTGAGTCTAACAAATGCTTCAGTGCAAGAATCATTGTCAAGTATAATATGCTGCAAATAAAGTAACCACACCACCCTCATAACTAGTTACAGATACACTCATATAGTGAGTTGGATAGTTTCTTTAAAATCAAGTTATTATATTAATATATAGATTGTTCACTTAATACTGGAGTTAATTTATTAGCAGAATAAATTTATCAAGTTTCATGGTCCTTCAAGTTGTAAAAGAAATTAAGTTTTTTTTTCTTTTTATCTATAACTCTATACAAAGATATGTAATTTTTTAACCATTTTTTATTTGGTAATTTTAACCTATAATAATTTTCTTCAGTGCAAGAAATAAAATATGTAAGAATTAGTATACAATTGTATTGACGTGACAAATTAAAAAAATTTATTTCCAAATTCACTCTCGTTTACCTTTAAATTCACTCAAATAAATGACAAAAAAATTTATCTTCAAATCCTCTCAAATCTCTTCAAATCCACTCCCTCAAATCCACTCAAAAGAACAGGACCTTAATGACATAATTTTATCTATTAATAAATGAAAATAATATTTTTTATTTAATACGTAATGGTGCAATTTCTCTTTCAAAATATAATTAGGTAACTTTTTCACTTAAAATAATTAACATACACATTTTTTCGTGAATTTTTAAATAATATTTTAAAATCACACTTTTAAAGCTACATTATTTGAATTTAAAAAATGAAAATAAATGTTCCCCTAATCTATAAAATCTTTGAATGCTTCTCAAAAGCAATAAATTTACTCAAAAAGATACACGGATCTTACAGTGGGATATTAAGAATCTTAACATTAAATTTTATATCATACCTGTTTTAAATTCTGATGATGCTGTGATTATTTTCTAATTTGCTATTATTAGAAGGAAATTTTTGCATTATCTTATTAAATTGAAAAAATATGTTTTGAGCATGCCATTACACCATTAAAGAAGATCCATTCTCTTCTTATAAGAAAGTTGTGAGCAAAGGCAAAACTTGTAGCAATCTTTTTGTTTTCTTGGCTCTCTTTGCATACAACCTTCCATAGGAGGGAAAATCAGTTAAATTCCATGGTTTTCCTTCTACAGGTAACAAAGTTATTACATGTTCAAAATTGTCTGTAGGTAAATTAAAATCGGTTTTTCTTTCTTTTGGTTTACTGAAATAATTAGTACAGGGCATGAAACATCTTCGAAGTTACTATAACTCAGAAGCTCAAATGATAAGAGGTGGGTTTCCTCAGCCATTCATCTCTAGGACATACCAAACCAGTTTCTTGAAGCAAAGATCAAAGACAGAGATAAAAGTTGTAGCCGCAAAGAAACACAGTGAAGCTGAAAAGAGACGTAGAATGAGAATCAATGGTCAATATGAAACCCTCCGAACTATCCTTCCCAACTTGATCAAAGTAAGTATCAAACCTTGTGAAACTGAAAATTCCTACATTTATTTCAGATATGTTTTTCATTCATAAATAATTTCCAAACAGTTAGTCTTATTCCCTTTAAAAGTCACGTGATAAAGACATTACAATTTGAGGAGACAAAAAATAGCTTGTGGAAATATTTTAGAAGATTAAAAAGATGTTTGTGGGCCTATTTATAAGTTGCCAGATTACAATTCTGTCATTTTTAATTTATTTATACAAGCATGGTGAATTAGATTTTGTTATGAACCATCAGAAGGACAAGGCATCGGTGTTGGCAGAGACTATCAAGCAAGTGAAGGAGCTGAAGAAAAAAGTATCAAAAGTGGAACAAGAGAGTTGTGGTAGCTCATCAAAGGATGTTGTTAAGTTTCCTAGTGGGGCAGACAGGTTGAGGTTGGAAAAATGTAATAATGAGGAGGACCTAGTGAAGGCCACATTGAGTTGCGAGGATAGTATGGGATTGATGTCTGCAATATCAAGGGCAATGGGATCAGTGAAAACCAAAGTGGTGAAGGCTGAGATAGTGAGTGTGGGAGGGAGAAACAGAAGTGTGTTGTGGGTGCAAGGTCTTGGGAATGATCGTATGGGGATGCTCAAGAGCTCTTTGAAGATTGCCATGCACAAGCCAGCCTTTAAGATGCGCCGTTCTACTCACTAAATCTCTGTTCTTCATTCTGACTTCTAATGATGGAGGAATGTTGACTCAGTTAGGAGCTATAACAAGGACTAGTAACAATATTTATGGTTTTGAGGGTTGTAGAATAATAATGACATTAGGAGCTTTGTGAAACTCATGGCTTTCTCACGTTTAGGATTACTTGAAAGAAAAATTTAGTTTTTACAATTTAGTGTGTGTACGAATGTTATGTCCCACTCTTCATATAAAGTATATGATAATGTGACGGGTTAATATGTAATGTGTTTGACAAGGGATATGGAAGCCTCAAGTTTTCACTATTGCGGATGGACGTGACTTGTTGAATGCGACGTATTTCCTAACGCACTGGCAACCACTCTAAGACTCAAGTACATAATGATGTGAATAATTAACATGAAATTGCTTTTGTATTTTGTCCATGAACCTAGTTGGTAAGCCGCAAGCAACCTCATGTTAGTAATCACTAGCCGCCATTACCTGAGCAGTTGAATACGGAAAGAAATCCTGAGAAATGCATAATTAGAGATCACAAAAGTAACGTTCCAACGAAGATATGTTCGTAGTAACTTTGAACCACATCACAACGCAGGACAATTACTAAGTAATTATTAACTGCACAAACTTGATTATAATCGGTGAATTATCACTCGATTTATTTTCCTTTATTAGTTTCCTCATTTTATAGTTGTTCTATATACTGATGAATAAATAAAATCATCCGAGTACAGAATGAACATTGAACAGGAATCCTCATTCTATTTGGATTAGCGAAATATTGATTTTCTTCACTACACCAAAAATATCCAAGATGATTGCTTAAATCTCAACTCAAACTCAATAAAACGTTTGAGCTGATGCATCTCCACTTGTTCTTCTCACATGTACACCAGAATTTTTGTCATAATGGTTAGCAGTGATATATCTTTTAAGGTCAATTCCCCTACTGCCACTGTGATTTTTGTTTTTGTTAGCATATAAAACTGCTTTATCTTCTGTGTCCTGCCGGAGCCTTCTACTTGCACCACTATCCACTAAGAAATCTGTATCCAAATTATCATATGAGGAAGATGACACCATGTTAGATGAAAGCCCATAATGGCTATACCAATTGGGTCCCACCTCACCAAATATGTAATCCGAGAAGTCAGCGGAACTGGCCGAGTCCTTGATACTCGCAGTACTACAAGAACTTGCATCTGAAGAGCTGAAAAGTGAGCTTTCACTAGAAGAATCCACCATTGTATTTCTTCCCCCATACTGGAATCTCCATTCCTCTGGATATGCAAAATCATTGCTTAAGGAATCATCAACATCATTCCAGTTAGGATGCTTGCCATGCTTCTGCTGCAGATAGGAAGAATTGCCGCTTGTAGCCATGGAATTTGATCTCGTTTTAGAAGTAGCAGGAATGGCTTCCAGGTTCCTCCTCTTGAATTTTCCAGCAGAAGATATTGCAGTGCTACTTACTAAACCCAGTGGCTTAGGAGAGTGCCTGAAGGTTTTTAAAATAGCACAAGACAATGCTATTATTAATGCTGAAATATTCTACAGAAATAATAAACATATCTGGGCAAGAAATTATACATAAACATCCACAGGCCTACTACCTTGCATAAAGAAGCATGTATGCCCTTTCTGATAAGACTCTTGACAATTCGACGGGTTCTACCTAAATAGAAGCACAGATTGCATCCTCAGTTTACATACAGAAGAAACTCACCTAATAAATATATTGTGCAGATTGATATTGCCATCACTTTTACAATCGTAAAATATTGATAACACAAGTTTAAGAAATCAAATTCAAATTGTATTTTCATAGATATTTTTCAAGAAAGGTTTAGGTATTTCCTTAAAATTTGAGAAACAAAAGGCAGTAATAACTTCAAAGAAGAATTTATACTATTCTTTGATGAACCTGACACTCAACAATACAAAAAAGAGTTTTAATAAATAACTTATTAGCCATTGACAAAACCCTAATAACTTTGTACTATGACATGCTTCAAATTTAAAACTTAATATTATTAATTATAAGAACTGGAAGCTGCTTCCCACAGCAATTTTTTTCTCAAATACAGACTAGTTCTCATGTTGAAAACACTTCAGAAAAAAAAAATTCAAAAACATCCTAATTTTAGTCTCTTTTTTTAAAATTTGATTCTTCATATATTGATGATGAGACATGAGTACCTTTCTATGAAAAAGTAAGCACGTATGAAAATCAAAGCCAAAAAATCAAATGATAGCATCATTTGCATAAGTTTTTTGGAAGGTGGGGAGAGGGGTTGAAGGCATCAGACACAGAAAAGGTAAATCAGAATAAAAACAGTCACCCTGCTGTCATCAGTCCTGAACCATTCCCCCTGAATGTTCTTCACATAACAGACATAATGGCCTGAAAATGCTGCATTCATGATATCCAAATGGACAACCACTGCATACAGGCTGTATAATGGAGACTTATCCTTTGTTCCGCTCATATAGGGAGCCATATTCAGGACTTCAGGGAACTGAACCGACTTGTTCAACTTCTCGAAGTTACCAGACTGCCAAAGTAGAATCAGAATATGCATTAGATACAAAATATAGAAGTAAAATAGCATATAGAGCAAAGTAACTAGATGACATGTAAAACTTCCAAATCAGTACTGGAGGTACCTGAAATCGTTTTAATACAATTGTAAGAATATTTGGTGCCTCCAATACGGTCAACTTCTTTCGTGCTTTCTCATATGTTTTACACCTGTACAGCAAGAAATAAACAAATTCAGTGATTTAATATTGAGAATGCGTCCCACACAGGAAAGGAAAAGTAACCCTCAAAATACCAGTTTTGTGCCTGTAAACTGCATGACATTTGTAGTACTACTTCAGTCTACATAAAACAGGAATAAAAAAAATCCAGATGACAGACTTTGCATTGTGCTTAGTAGCTAGGTTCTGATAACCTAGTAAGTTTTGATTGGATGATCCTACGAGAAGAGGGAAACCTGGCATTCTGAGTAACAGAAATCGTAGGCAAGCAGAACCACAGTCGGATTACTATCATTGTTGTGAACTCATGGGATCGTCAATTCTCATCGAGGAAAACGCCCAGACTATGGGTTGGATCCCTCTAACCAAATTTTTCCTTTCTCTTCATTTGTGATCCACTTTTGGACTCTCCCACTTCACCTGCAACCAACAACCCTCAAACTTCTCTGCTGCAGCCAACTGCAACCACCCCACTCTTAGACCCTGGCACATGCAGGATTGTTCACAGGGATCGTTGGCAAGCAGGACCACAGTGGGATCACATTCATTGTGAACTCACACAACTGTCAATTCCCAGCAAGACAAGGACCCAAACTCTAGGTCAGATCCCTTTATGATCCCCCTCCCATTCTCACTTCATTATCTGCAACCAACAAACCTCAATTTTCTCTCTGTTGCGGCAAACAGCAACAGCTCCACTCTTTAACCTTGGTGAGGTGAATTGTTTGCAGGAATTGTGTTAGGTTCCTAAGTATTGAACCTAACTGAACTCACTCACAATCACTCAGAACAGCCTGAAGATGAATGAAAGAACTGTATTATTACTCAAAGAATGGGTCTGTACAAAGAATAGACTGGGAGCATAACCTCCCTCACAAGGTTCACTGAACCTGTTCTTTACATCAACAGTCAACAACCCCCTCAACCCCCTCCCTCTGTCAAACAGAGGCTATTTATACAACCTTTTCCCGCCCCCTCTCATAACTGTTAAGACAGTTATGTTATTACACTCTTTCCCGCCTTTTGTAAACTAACCAGGGCCTATCAAATTGTCAGCAAGCAGGACCACACGGGAACCACGATTCTTCATTGTGAACTCATGGGATCTCTTTCACCCAGTTTCAAAAATCCCTAATATCTTTTTTCTTTGTTTGTGATCCACTCTTGGACTCTCCTAGTCTCACTTCATCAGCAACAAACAACTTTCAAACTTCTTTCTCATGCTGCCAACTGCAACGGACCATCTTCACTCAGTGCTGCCACCACCATGCTGCCCACCCTTTGGCTGTACAAAGTGCAAACGGCTGATTCTGTACTCAGTTTCTTCTCTCGCTTAGTCTCTACCTTCTATTATCCACTGTGCCTTTTCTCACTCTCAGTCTATGCTCCCTTCTTTGTTGTCTTAATAATTTTGGACTAATATAAAATTATATTTGGATATAACAACTTGTTATGATTGTGATTTTTCAATTTAAGTTTGTTTAATGCTGTCATTGAGTGTGTTTTTTTTTTCTTTATATTTGTTTTTTTATGCAAATGCATATATAACTATACTTTTTTACATTTTGGGTAGGAATGGAGGATATTATGAACTGAGTAACTGATGTTCACCCTACCCAATCTAATTAGAATCTTGAGTTTAAACCATGACTATAATTGCATATATAGTTCAATGAAAGCAAATTAGCTGAACAAAAAATCTAGATATGTTCCTAAATTGAAGCAAGAAAATCATCAAACAAACTACATCATAGTTAAGTCTAACCACAAGGTCCCACAATTCTTCTACCACACACTCCACAAAGTATGGTGTGGAAGCTTCTCAGTTTTCTTGCAAAAGTAGCATTCCTTTAGAGAGGATTGTAAAATTCATCTAAAGATGAGTCATTTAAATCAGTTTGACAGACAAAAACCCAGAACGCCATTAGTAGATTCAGGATTTTAAATAGAAACTACAGAGGGTAGCTGAGTGGACCCTGGCTGCTACAGGGATTGTAGTAGAAGACAGTTCAGTATAGAAACTTTCACATGTGAAATAGCAGCCTGAAAATCAATCAAAAGACTTCTATTTCTCATTTTATATCTCAACTCAACCAGCACTTACGTGTACAACTCTCCCCACCCAGCACTTTGGAGAATAGTTTCCCTTCTCTGGCAATTGGTTTATCACTTTATGTCAGTGTTTTCTTTTCACCAGGAACTGATTTCTCTGCCTCTTTTTTCTCAGTGCATTATTATTATTATTATCCGCCT